CACAATTACATGTGAGAAGGAGTAAAGGAATAGTCGCTTCTGCCTCAGTCTAATTCAGTGAATCTGCATTTTTATACAAACAAAAGGGCAGAGGAAGCAATCAGAGATTCATTTCTTTCAGATGAACAGAGGGATGACTTAGAGTTCTGTGCTTTGTCCCATACCTGTGAATATAAGCTATCCATTTATATGCCAGGGTGAAAGTCAATGGAATAAAATGGGAACCAGGTTTGCCTGACACAGTTCCCAGCCTGACTTTTCCCTTTGGCTTAGTGATTTGGAGGGGTGAGTGTCCCAAGATTTATTTTCCTTTCACATCTGTAACAGCTGAAATTAAAGTAAGAGAATATTGGGTCAGGCCTTGAGGCTAAACCAAGCCTAGATTTGGGTCTGTCTGAGCTCAGATCACTAGCCTCAAGGCTATTCACAAATGAGAAAATTATGCCAGGAAACCAGAAAGTACCTCTGAGACCTTTGGTTTCCTGGAAGGTAGTCAATGTGGGGAAGGGATGAAACTAAGTAACTTCTGAAACTACAGGGTATAATGTGAAGGAATTCTTCCATTGTTTAAATAAATATAATTAGCTTCCATGAGGAACCTTAACTAAAATGGATTGTGAGAGTAATTAATTTAGATGCAGTGTCTATGGTTTTAAATGCTTCAGAGTGGAAGAGTAGGTTTTGCTTGATACAGAGCCCATAGCTCACAATTGAACAATTGCAGATGGGTATATATAATTCAGACACACAGGATGTTATTCCAAAAGGACAGGCTACTCTGTGTACTGGGTAAAAGACTGTGAGAACTATTTGCTCTGAGAAAGAGAATTGTCCCACTCTACCTCTAAATGCCAAGTAGAGCACTCCAGATGAAGCAACAGATAGGCTTCAAATGTAAGCCATGGGGGACTGGCTTTATAATTATGTGGCAGGCCAGGTCTCATGAAGGCAGGCCTCCATAACAACTGTTTCAGTGCTGACTGAGTGGTTAAGTTAAATGTTAAAAGCTAAAAGAGCCAGTACCCTCATACAAAGCCTGGATTATAACAAGAGTCCACCAAGAATTTTGCCTAGGACTTTCCTGGGTCTTGGACCGTGAACAAGTTAATGAACGAATCCTTACAGGACTCCTTTAGGATTAAACAACTTTAATCCTTGGGATCTGAAGAAACTTCCCAAGCCTCCACAAACAAGTTTATTGGGGGTCTTAGGAATTTCCCAAACCTCCATGATTTAGGAGACAAGATAAGGTAATCACTCTAGCACCTGGACCCATTTAGATTAAGTAAATTTACTGAGCCTCCAGAGGAAGGTCTTCGGAACTCAGATCTCAGTTGTAGATTAAAAGAAGTTAGTCACTTATGTTTTTAGATGAATGACACTTACACACAGACAAATAACTTAGAAGGTATATAAGCTCTGGAAGACTTTGTAATTTTCAGTTGGTCTGGCAATATTTTCCAGGCCTTCTCCCTATAACTGGTTACAGAAATCAAAACTATCTTTCTCCCCAGTTCATCTGCATGTCATTATTGGGTTGGAAGAAATAGCAGTCTGACCCTCGGTTTGGTCCGGGAACAAAGATAGAAATATTAACGTGGCCAGGCATGGTGGCTCACACCTGTAATCCCTGCACTTTGGGAGGCCAAGGTGGGTGGATCACCTGAGGTCAGGAGTTTGAGTCCAGCTGGGCCAATATGATGAAATGTCGTCTCTCCTAAAAATACAAAAAAATTAGCCGGGCACATTGGCAGGCACCTGTAATCCCAGCTACTTGGGAGGTTGAAACAGGAGAATCGCTTGAACCTGGGAGGCAGAGGTTTCAGTGAGCTGAGATTGTGCCACTGCACTCCATCCTGGGTGACAAGAGTGAAATTCTGTCTCAAAAAAAAAAAAAAAGAGAGAGAGAGAGAAAGAAATATAAACCTTACTTTTTGGCTTTTGGTTTTTTGCTCTTAAACTGCTTACAGTTTTAATAGTTAATGAGTCCCTGGCACCTCTATTCTTGTCTGGCCTAGAATGTTTAATTGTCTTTTAAAAAGTCTTTTCTGACTCTAAGTCCCTTGGCTATAGAGGTCCCACTGAGGAACAGGATGAACTTCGACCCAGTAGTCATACCACCCTGGAAATGATATGGAACAAAATAAAGGTTGGCCATCAATGCACCCTCTGGCATATTCCAAGGGGACTTCAGTTTCCATGAAATAAATCTTACCTGGGAAAAGGTCTTGCCCCCTTGCCCTGCTGAGGGTACTGGTAGCCCCCAGAAATGGGTTGGCTCTTAGCCCCTTTCAAAATGTTGACTTGGAGACTTTTCATGAACTGTTGCTTGAGGATTTTTTTTTCCTCCCTGGAAACAGAAGCTAGGTCATTAATTGTTAGGGACAAGTTGCCTCAGAAAATCTCCTTCATGCAAGCTGACCCCCCACCCCCCACCTTGATTGTTCTGCAGCCACATTCCTGAACTCTTATCTAGTTGACACAGCATGACTGCCAGACAGGCTACCATTAAGTAAAGTGTGATTGCAGCCATGAGGCACCGCAGGGGGGAGGTCATGGAAAACAAATGTCTGTTACACATACTTGTAAATTTCTGTTTTACACTTCCTGTCATGGTCTGAACTAACCTCTCAGGTTAAATTTTCAAGGAGCTCTGGCTGAAGAGGAAGTCCATTCAGATGATTGGAGGGTCTTAGAATTTTATTTTTGGTTTATACCCCACACACAGCTACGTTTCTGCCTGCACATAGCTTCCCCACTATATAACCTCCCAATTTTAGTTTGTTGGAGAACAAAGCCAGAATAAAGCCAGTTCTAGCCATAGCACTGCAGCTTGTATCAGATGAGAGAAACCTACAGAAACATAATTATAAAATGTGGATAAAGTTAATAAAACAACTGAGAAGGCAAAATTTGAGGGGCTCCAAATGATCAAGGTTTACTGCTTATAGTCTATGTGTCTGTCAGAAAAAAAAAAAGAAAACAAAACTTTTTGGTAGGAAGATCATTTAAAATCTCTGTTTTTAATACATAAGGCCTGTCATTTAATTTAAAAAAATTATGAGATGACCTAAAAAAAAAAGAACTAAATGTTAAAACATCAATCGATAGGCCAAATTATAAAAACTGACCTACATGTGGTTCAGATAATAGTATCAGTAAAAAAAAGAAATTATCTGAGACAGGTCTCAATGAATGTAGAAGTTTATTTTGCCAAGCTTAAGGACATGCCCAGGAAAATAAAATATGAACACCAAAATAGTCTGTGATCTGTGCCTTTTTACAAAGATGATTTTGAGAGTTTCAATTTTAAAGGGGAAAAACAAGCTTTTAGGGAAAAAGTGAGGGTGTGGTAATCCATACACTGTAAGGGAAAAAGAGAAGGAAGGGGAATAGTCAGTGATGTATTCCTCACAGTAAATGAGCATTTTACCTAAGATAAGGTGAAGACAGAGTAGCTGTCTGTGGAGATATTTAACCTTTCATCTGTAGCTATCTGCTTAGGAAACAACAAGAAAGGCAGTTTTTTTGCATGACTCAGCTTCCAGCCTTTTTTTTTTTCTTACTGGGATAGTGAGCTGAGTTTTTGAGTTTTCCTTTCATGTATAAGACAGAAATGTAAAGCAATAAAAATTAGTGTGTTCAAGTAAATGGAGAAAAGTATTAAGAATTTCAACAACATAAAATAATTCAAGAATAAATAAAAATTATAGAACTGAAATAAATAACTATAAAATTTAGAGTAATTTAATTAAGGACTAGAAGAGGGCAAGAAGAATCCAACAAATGAAAGTGTTTAAGAAGGAAGGAATAGCCATGGATATCAAATGGTTCTAAGGAATCAAGTCAGTTAAGATGTAAGAAATATTCCGTGGATATAGTAAAAAGATAGTCTTTGTTGAACTTGGTGAGACCTATTTTTTTAAAAGAGAAGGATTCATATTGAATTATATTGATGAGGTTTATGAAGTAATTTCTTAATTGTGTATTTACAAAGTGAGTTATTAATCTCCTTGGCATTCCTTATATGTCCTCTGACAAAGAACTCATTTCATGGCAAAAGAAACGGGGCAGTGAGTACCAATTTACTGTATTTAACTCACACATCCATCACCCAAAATCAGCTAGTTTGTTAGAGCACAGGAATGAGTTGAACACTTTTTTAAAGACTTAATTGTGGTATAATAGGGAACACAATACTTAAGCAGATTAAAGTGTTTTCTTACATAACTTGTGTTTGCTTTAAAACAGCTGTCAAAATATAGTGTCAAGCTTCTATATGTAGAATGTGAAAGTAGGAGTAGCTGCTTTGTGTATTACATGTGAGAGCCTGCATAATAAAGATGAGCTTCTTGTTTGCCAAACTAAATTTTGATGTGTTTAGAGGTCCCAGTCCCAAAGGTTGTAATGTTTCCAACAAAAGAACAGTCATGTTCCATTAATTTAGAAATAAAAATTCAGGAATTATTATCCTAATAATTTAGGAATTTGGTTCTTAATAATTTAGAAGTTGAGAGCCAGGTCTCTACTCATAATTGTGTGCTGCTTACACCCCTAAAACAACCAGTAATATTGTTCAAAGTGAAGGATTCAAATGCTAAGTGCAATTTGAGTATGGCTGCACAATGAGACAAGGAGGATTATATCTAGGACCCAAGGAATAACAAATAGCACCTTGTCCTCTCTTTATCAAGAGAATAGGCAATAGAAGAAAGCTGTGATAGTCCTATGTAAACAGACTACTGAAAATTCAGATTCAGCAAGAATGAATATGAGGGTCAAATTATGGTAAAAACAGTGCTGGAAGAGAATAAAGGGAATGTAAAGTAAGTGCTTGGAGAAGAAAGCTATGTGGAAAGACATAGCTATATGTCTTAGTTATATGGGGAAAGACAATAATAGTAATTTTTTCAAACATTGAATTTTCCCCTTTCCCCTACACAATTCTGCTCTGTTAAATTGAGGAAGGAGAACCAGGCATCTGGGATTCCCTCCCTCTCTGTCATGCACTGTGCATCTCAATAGAAGAGAAAGCAGACCAGCTGGAGCCTCCTGAATCTCCTTCCTGAAAATAACACAGAGTTGAGCAGGGAGGCCCTGCAGCGTGGATCCATCCAGTGGCTGAACACTGAGAAGGAATGGGTATTTGAGATGTCCGGACCCCTGAATCTGGTAAGATTGAACCCAGGAAAGTAGCCCACCCCATTTTGGGTGGAAGCGTGGCCTGATCACCCATGGGTGCAAGATTTGGCACTTTTGAACGTAGCTCTCTCTCTCTCTCTCTCTCTCTCTCTGTAACTAACCTTGGAAGCTTTTTGCTTATGGTTTTGAATTGGAAGGAGAACAATTGGATGTGTGTCTGTGTGTGTAGATGGGTCTGACAAGACTCAGTAGTGAAGGTATTGGGCCCATTAGGAGGGGCTTTATGCATCAAGTAATTTGTAAGAATTTGAGACAGCCACCTAAGGCTGAGTGAAGAAGCCTCTAGGCATTGTGAAAGGATTGAAGTGAATGTAAATTGGAGAGCGCTCCGTGATCTTGCTAGGCGGGAACAGAAACTGCTGTGAGTGAACTAACACTCTCCTAACTGTTGGAATTATTTCTTTGAAGTGTTAATATGGGTCACTCTAATAGCAAGCCCACCCCTTTAGAAACCAGGCTGAAAATTTTCAAGAAGGGAATTTAGTAGGAATTATAAAGTAACTATGACACCAGAGAAATTAAGGGTTTTATTTGGGAAGATTGGCCAGCATTTAGGGAAGGTTGGCCCCCAGAGGGGACCCTAGACAGGTTCCTTGTCTCCAAAGTAAGGCATGAGGTTATATACTGCGAGATAGAGCACCTCGATCAATTTCCATACATAGATCCGTGGTTGCAATTAGTGTTAAACCCTCTGAAGTGGCTAAGAGAGCAGGCAGCGACTGTTTTAGTACCCAAGGGACAGGCTGCTAGAAACCACCATCCCCCTCGCTGCCAAGAAATGCGAGCTCCCAAGTCCAGGCATTCAGTGCAGAAACAGGCAGGATTTGCATGCATGAATACTTCAGTTATTGGAAGTAGCTAACCAGGCATTTGTAAACCAAGAGGCAGTAAGCCAGAGGGAAAATCATAGGGAAAGGGAAGGTCAGGCTCAACGAAAGTCTGACTTGATAGCTGCTGCTATGAGAGGAATGCCCCCAGGAGTGTGGAGAAAGGTGGGGGTCCTGGAAAACCCCACAGTCTGCCCGCACACGCCTACAACGCGATCAGTGTGCATTTTGTTGAGAAATAGGAAATTGGAAGAAAAAATGTCCACAGTTAACTGGAGAACAGGGCAATCCTAAGCACGAGGACCAAGATAAAAGTGAAGGGACTCTGTTCAACCTAATGGAAGGGCCACTGGAGTAAAAGAGAGAGGGGCTGGCCTCATATGTCCCCCAAAGAGCCCACGGTCTGGATGACAGCCCTATAAGCCCTCATGGGAAAAAAAAAAAAAAAAAAAAAAACGAATGTCTTTAAAGCTTTTAAGGTGTTAAGAGAACAGACTTTCCTGTACTTAATTGACTACCCCTGCCCCTTTCTTCAGCAAAACCTGTTGTGCAAATCAAGGGCCACTATCTCATTCAACAAAAAAGACTCCCTACAGCTAAAACTGCCTCAGTCGGGGGTTATCCAGACACTCATTTTCCCTTGGGAAGGAGGGTGGAGAGTTCCTAGCCAGAAACAGAGGACTGATATTATCACCCAGGCCAGTGCAGGGCTTGCGTGGCTTTGCACCCAACTCGAACACGCAGTTGGGATTACTGCCCACAAGGGATAGTTGGTTCACTTAATTGGACTTAAAGAATACTTCTTTAGCATTGGACTGGCCTTGGAGGGTCAAAAAATATTTGCATTTCAATGGGAGAAACCCAGAAGCAGGTGTAACCATTCAATACACCTGGACCCAGCTTCTCAGAGGCTCAAAAACTCTCACATCATCCTTGGGGAGGCATCAGCCCATGACCGCCCCCCAGAAGCTTTTTGCTTGTATACTGCCCCTGTATGCTGATAACCTTCTATTGGGACACCCCACGCAGTCGGGTGCACAAACAAATGCCTTTTTTCAGCACCTGGAGGACTGTGGGTAGAAAGTGTCTAAGAGGAAAGCCCAGATTTGCCAAAAAGCAAATGCAGTATCAGAGGCTCACCATCCAGAAGGGGGAATGCAGCCTAGAAGCAGAGAGGAAGCAAGCCGCTTGTAAAGTGACAGAATATGAGACTAAAATGCAGGTAAGAGAGCTTTTTGGAGCCATGGGTTTTGTAAATTGTGGATTTCCAAACTTCGCAGTACTGGTCAAACTCTTACACAAAGTGACTAAGGGCGGGAGGAGAGAAGACAAGACACCCTTTGAATGGGGCAGAAGCTAAAAGTGAAACTTCTGTCAGCCCTGGCTCTGGGGCTGGCTGATTTAACAGCCTTTTCATGCTGTCAGAAAAAAAAGAAAAGAAAGAAAAAAATGGCAATCAAAGATTCTAGCCTCAACTCCGGGAATAATTTAAATATCAAAGCACCCCACACAGCGGTGACTCTAATGAATACCAAAAGACCTCATTGGTAAGCCTGCCAAATACTAGGGCCTGCTATGCACAGCGGTTGTACAACCATAAATAAGACCACTAGTTTAGGTCAAGAGTCACTTGAAAAGATGCTGGGCCGGTACTTTTACATCTCACGCTTATCAGCCTTGACCAAACTGTGGCACAGCGATGCATTACATGTCTGCAACACAACATGAGGTGGGGTCCCAACTATTCTCCCTGGCATCCAAGCTTATGGAGAGCTCCATTTAAAGATCTCCAGGTAGACTTTACTGAAATGTCCAAGTGTGGGGGACATAAGTATTTGTTGGTCCTGGTGTGCACATATTCTGGGTGGGTAGAGGTCTTATTGACTAGGACTGAAAGGGCCCATGAAGTAACCCGTGTGCTGCTTCGAGATCTGATCCCTACGTGTGGACTGCCACTGTGCATCAGATCAGACCACAGACCAGCATTTGTGGTGGATTTAGTCCAGAAAACAGCAATGGCCTTTGGTATCACCTGGAAACTGCATGCTGCCTACCAACCTCAGAGTTCTGGAAAAGTGGAAAGAATGAACCCGACCATCAAAAACAGCTTAGGGAAAGTATGTCAGGAAACAAGATTAGAGTGGGTGCCTCCTCCCCTGCTCTGGGAACTTCTAGGAACTCCTTGGGAGTGGGGAGAGATTGAGTTAGGATGCTAGTTACCAGCTCTAGGGGGAATTGTTTAGGATACTTCAACCTGAGTAAATAATAAATGTCAGCCTGTAAGCCTTTTTCTCCCCAGTTCACCCTTTCCCACTAGGTAATCATGCATGGATAAAGGACGGGAGTACAGCCCCTCTAAAGCCACAACGGAAAGGACCTCAGACCTGATCCTGACCAATCCCACAGCTGTGAAGGTAGAGGGAATCCCAGCCTGAATTCACCACAGTCGTGTAAAAAAACCAGCAGCAGCTGAGACTTGGACCAAGGCAAGGACTGCAGAATCGCCTTAAAAAGGACAATAAGCTCTGCTTCAGCCACATCCCGGAAGCTGGCTGGTCCACACATGGCTGAAGCATGAGGAAATTCATCATGGGACTTGTTCTTCTTAATATTTGGACTTGCATAGTAGGAATATTAACTAATTTTAAAGAATGCCCTCAGTATGTACAGGAGGTAGGGCATAAAAGTTACTGCCATTCTTTTGTCCTGCAGTTCTTATAAATGTACAAGGGCACAGAAGGGAACCTGTTTATATAATGGTACTCAATATAAGGTGTGGAATCCATGAGGTGGACAGGCAGCTGTGTCATAGGCATCATTAAGCCCTCTTCCTTCCTATTATCTGTTAAGATGGGTGGGCTCTTAATGTATTCAATCTACTCCACTAGGGAGAAAAGAAACCTAAAAATAGAAGATTGGACAAATGATAAGTGGCAACTGGAGAAAATTATTGAGTATTATGGGCTGGCCACATGGGCAGAGGATGGCTCATGGGGATACCAGACCCCTATTTACATGCTCAACTAGATCATCTGGTTGCAGGCTGTTTTGAAAATACTCACCAATGAAACAGGCAAAGCTCTGTCCCTCTTGGCCCGACAAGAAACTCAAATGAGAAACGCAATTTATCAGAAACAGCTGGCTCTAGATTACTTGCTAGCAGCTGAAGGAGAAGTCTGTGGAAAATTCAATCTAACCAACAGGGGCAAGCAGTGGAGGATATTGTGTTAGACAGGACCAAACTGGCACACGTGCCTGTACAGGTGTGCCGGATTTAATCCTGAGCCCTTATTTGGAGGTTGGTTCTCATCCTTGGGAGGGTTCAAAACCCTCATCATAAGTGTTATAATAATAATAGGTGTTTGTTTGTTGCTCTCTTGTCTATTCCTCCTGTTCCTTCAGATGATTAGGGTGTTCATCACTACTGTAGTTAGCCAAAAAGTGACATCACAAGTATATTATATAAAACATCAGTCAGTTTCTTCAGAAAATCTGGAAAGTGACAATGAAAGTGAGACCTCACTGATATTATAAAATGGTTAGGGTCTCAAAAAGGGGGAGGTTAGGAAGAAGACCCAGGCATCTGAGATTCCCTCCCCCTCTGTCATCCACTGTGCATCTCAATAGAAGTGAGAGCAGGCCAGCTGGAGCCTCCTGAATCTCCTTCCTGAAAATATCAGGTTTGGTCTTGGGGAAATCTGTTTCCCATGGCTGTTCCTGCTACACTATAAATTGCAGAGGTGGTAGTAAATATTATAGAATTATTTTAAAGTATTACTGAATTGATATTAACCAATAATGATATGGCAGCTGATAGTGATAGGGACAGGAGACAGAGACATTCTAGGAAGAAAAGGGCCAGGACCCTGGCAAGAGCCTCACCCTCAAGCCTGCATCTGTGGCCCAAAGTGAGAACTTCCTGTTTTTCACTTAAATATTGCCTTTTGCAAAACTCCCCCTGGCCTACTCTACCCCCATCCTGTACCCAGTAAAACCTCAGGCTCCACTGTCAAAGAGCAGAGAAGGAGGGAAAAGAAGCAGCAGCCAGACATCAAAAAGAAGCCACTTGACTTCAGAAGGAGGGCTTGATAGCAAGACTTCAGAGAAGAGTCCTGCCGGGGATGGACTCCACGGGAATATCACCTTCCCACTCCATCTCCTTTCTGGCATCCCTTCCTACTGAGAGCCACTTTGATCAGCAATAAAATCCTCCACATTCACCACCCCTCAGTTTGTTCGTGCAACCTCGTTCTTTCTGGATGCCAGACAAGGACTTGGGTGCAGGTGCAAAAGGCTGCCATGTTGCCCCTCTACTGAGCTGTTAACACTTAATCCATCTGCAGCAGCAAAGTTAAAAGAGTGCACTGTAACAAATGTCCTCTGGGGCTTCCTGGGTTTCTAGTACCCCCTAGATGCTTCTGCGGGGCCACGCAGAATTTTGCTCCTGCGGGTGCCCAAAAGCACTCACCCTGGCTTCTGCACCCACTTACCTCTGTATTCCCCTTTCTGTGAGGGTTTGAGAGCTGCAAGCTGAGTAGGCAAGGCACCCCTGTCATAAGGACTGTGAAGTGGTGGAGGAAAATTTCCTGTTACATCAGGATTGTATGTGTCCTCTGTGTTCGCTTTTCATCTAGAACAGTAAGAGTGGATGCTGAGGGTGAAAGAGATCAGCTGTGTTGGATATTCTGTTTGTTCTTATAGATCTCCTCTTCACGATTTTAATCCCTTTTCAGTGCCCTGGGATGCTGACTCTTATGTACAATATCCCTGGACACTAACGTCCTGAAGCTTTAGGCATGTTTGTGCTAATAGGAAGAATAAGCAAAGATTAAAACGTGGGAGAATCCTTCCCTATAGCACTAGGAAATGGATATGGAGCTTTTCTCACTGAGTGTGCCTCCAGGGAGGCAGCCTTCATCAGCTGTAGTTTCTGCTGCTTCAGCTAATTGCTACCAGTATTGTTCTCTCAGGCTTTCCACAGTAGCTACCCCTGGGGTATTTCACTATCCCATTTGGTTTTCTTTGGTCTTATCCGCATCGTGTAAAATTATTTTATCTTCTTAAATTTTCCATTTAATGTATAACCTTTTTTTTTTTGTTTTTGGATCCCAAGAGTGTGTTTCTTTTTTGTACGAGTATATCATGGTCACCGTGGTCTCTCAACTTTTAAATTATGTGACTCTGAAGATGTGTGTCTCTAACTTTTTACCCCTGTGCACTTTTCTTCACCTATCTTTATTTGTTTCCCTTTCTTCCATTATAACAAACCACAGAAAATGCATAATTTAGGTAATGGATAATTTATCACTTATGTTTAATATGAGAAGATATTTGTAGTTGATATTTGAGATCCTTCCTTAGTATTCAACTGGAATGAAAATTGATATAGGTTGGTTTCATAGCTTGTGTGCCACAGTAAACACGGAGTGCAGGTATCTGTAGCATATATACACAATGGAATATTACTCGGCCATAAAAAGGAATTTGTCATTTGCAGAAACATGAGTGGAACTGAAGATCACCATGTTAACTGAAATAAGCCAGGCACAGAAAGACAAATATCAATGTTCTCACTCATATGCAAGAGCTAAAAGAATGAATTGCATGGATAGTAGAATGCTGGTTACCAGAGGCTTGGAAAGGGGTTGTGGGGAATAAAGACAAGTTGGTTGGGTACAAAAATATAGTTAGGTAGAAGGAACAAGTTCTAGTATTTGACAGTACAATGGGAAAACTATAGTTAACAATAATTTATTGTATATTTCAAAATAGCTAAAAGAGAAGAATTGTAGTATTCCCAACAGAAGGGAAAGCTAAGTATTTGAGGGAATGAATACCCTTATTACCCTGATTTGGTAATTACACACTGTATTAAGGTTTCAAAATATCATATGTACCTCTTAAATCTATACAACTATTATATATCAATAACAAATTTTTTTAAAAAACTGATACAGACTGTGAAGGGCAAACCATCAAATAATCTCTGATCTCAGCTTATTCATGTGGATGTAAATGTTTTAGCTGGCTCTAAACCAAGGATTTTGTAATAGTTATTCAAATATTTTTATCAAACAAGAATACCTTGCAAACAGGACTTTTAGATTTTTCAGTTGTTGCCCCTTACAAATCATCATACTCTATCTTCTAGTGATGATGGATGAAACAACCTTCCATGTGAAAAAACAGAGCAATATAACACAGAACAAGGCTCTACCTGTGGAGTGGCCAGTTTTCATCCTTTTATAAACAAAGAGAATATTATAAACAAATGTTTATATACATTTGATCCACCTAGGAAAAGCAGAGGGCTAGTCTTTCCCACCAGGAGAGGCATTAGAGCTTGTACATGTATTCCCTGAGCATATGACCTTATTCCACTTGAGAAATAAGGCAGCTATAAGACATTGATGATAAAAACAATACATTTTAAAGGAGGAATTTGATTCTAATTTCTTTTCTTTTAAGTCCACTTCCCAACCCACCACTAATATAACTTCAAGTAATTATGCAAAAATTTTATGCTTTTCTGAAAATCCGGGCACTGACTCACTGGTTTTAAGTGTGGACAAAAGTGAATTTCCATTCAATCTTGTTTTTAAAAATGTCTGTTGCAATGAAGCACTTTCATAACAGCCATATATTTTACTGACTTCATTGTTCACTTATTTACTTAAGAAATATTTTTTGGGGAGGAACTCAAGATGGCGCTGTGACAACAACCCAGGATTTAAGCTCTCGGTTAATCTGCGGAGAGGTGAGTCAAAGCTGCATTTTCAGACTGATCTTTGTTGCCCACAGAACGGGGAAATTCCCAAGTATAAAGGAGACGCGGGATACCAGGAAGAGGCTCTGCCTAGAGAAGCCGGCAGCCGCGATGGCGGCGTCCGTCCCTACCCAGAGATCCCCACAGGGCGCGCTTGTCCGGGTGCCCTGTTGAAATGGCAACCTGAGACTTCAGAGGGCTGAACTCGAGACTGAAAGGTACTTGGGCAGTGGGCCAGCCCAGGGGATTGCAGGGACACAGCGTGTGGGATAGTGCAGTGGGACAGACAAAACGGCGATTGGAAACGCTCGCCATGGAAACCGTCCCTGAGGCACTCCGTGGGGGAGAGGCGTCCACCATTACCAAGGCAACCCAACCCGACTAAGACACACTCCCACTGCTGATGCAGCCCGCAGTTGCCGAGGCAACCCGCCCCTACTGAGATACACGCCCACTGCTGACGCAGCCTGCCATTGCTGAGGCAACCCGCTACAACAGAAAGATTCCGCTGCAGGGCATAGCCGTGGTGGAGAACGCAGCAGAAAAGCAAGAGCCTGCAGCAACAGGGCGAGCCTCACAACAGCAGGGCGGAGCCTCGGCAGTCAAATAGTGATTACACTGCCTCCTAGGTAGGCAGGACACCTCAGCAGACATCCAAAAGCAAAGCCCCAATCCCCCAAGACAGAGCATTTGAGAAAAAAAGGGGTTTTTTAATGAGCTCTGTTGCAGCAGAATCAAACATAGCAGCCTAACAGCCCTGAATGAACAACAGAGCTCACAGCTCAGCAATTGAGCTCCTATAAAGTACAGACTGTCTCCTCAAGCAGCTCCCTGACCAAAAGACTGACATTTGGCAGGCATCACCCTGGGACAAAGATAGCAGAAAAATAAACTGGTAGCATCCCTCACTGTGCCACAGCTGCTATAGGTGCACCCCAGACAAGCAGGGCCTGGAGTGGACCTCAGCAGTTGTACAGTGAAGGGGCTGGACAGGTAGAAGGAAAACCAAGTAACAGAAATACTTCATCATCAACAATCTGGGTGTCAACTCAGAGATCCAATCGAAAAGTCAGCAACTACGCAGACGACAAGTGGATAAATCCACAAAGATGGGAAGAAACCAGCGCAAAAAGGAGGAAAACACCCAAAACCAGAACACCTCGCCTCCTAGAAAGGACAAAAACTCCTCACCAGCAAGGTAACAACCAGGACAGAGAATGACTGTGACGAAATGACGAAATTAGACTACAGAAGATGGATAATGAGAAACTTTTGTGAGCTAAAAGAACATGTATTAAATCAATGCAAATAAACTAAGAACCTTGAAAAAAGATATAAAAAAAGATTTGAGGAAATGATGACAAGAATGGATAACTTAGAGAGGAATATGAATGAATTAAAGGAGCTGAAAAACACAATACGAGAACTTCGCAAAGCATGCACAAGTTTCAATAGCCGAATTGACCAAGCAGAAGAAAGAATATCTGAAGTCGAAGATCAACTTAATGAAATAAAACGAGAAACCAAGATCAGAGAAAAAAGCGCAAAAAGGAATGAACAAAGTCTCCATGAAATGTGGGACTATGTGAACAGACCTAACCTACGTTTGATAGGTGTACCAGAAGGGGACGAAGAGAATGAATCCAAGCTGGAAAATACTCTTCAGGACATCATCCAGGAAAATTTCCCCCACCTAGCAAGACAGGTCAACACTCAAATGCAGGAAATACAGAGAACACCACAAAGATATTCTGCAAGAAGAGCAACCCCAAGGCACATAATCGTCAGATTCAACAAGGTTGAAATAAAGAAGAAAATACTAAGGGCAGCCAGAGAGAAAGGTCGGGTCACCAAGAAAGGGAAGCCCATCAGACTCACAGCAGATCTCTCGGCAGAAACACTACAAGCCAGAAGACAGTGGGGGCCAATATTCAACATTCTTAAAGAAAAGAACTTTCAACCCAGAATTTCATATCTAGCCAAACTGAGCTTCAGAAGTGAAGAAAAAATAAAATCCTTTGCGAACAAGCAAATACTCGGAGATACTGTCACCACCAGGCCTGCTTTACAAGAGCTCCTAAAAGAGGCACTACACATAGAAAGGAACAACCAGTACCGGCCATTCCAAAATCACACTAAATGCTAAAGAGCAACAACATAACGAAGAATCTACAACAACTAATGAGCAAAACGGCCACTTAGCATCAAATGGCAGTATCAAATTCACACATAACAATATTAACCCTAAATGTAAATGGACTAAATGCACTAAGCAAAAGACAAAGACTGGCAAATTGGATAAAAATACAAAACCCAGGCCGGGCACGGTGGCTCAAGCCTGTAATCCCAGCACTTTGGGAGGCTGAGGCGGGTGGATCACGAGAGATCGAGACCATCCTGGTCAACATGGTGAAACCCCATATCTACTAAAAATACAAAAAATTAGCTGGGCACGGTGGCGCATGCCTGTAATCCCAGCTACTCAGGAGGCTGAGGCAGGAGAATTGCCTGAACCCAGGAGGCGGAGGGTGCAGTGAGCCGAGATCGCGCCATTGCACTCCAGCCTTGGTAACAAGAGCGAAATTCCGTCTCAAAAAATAAAAACAAACCAAAAATACAAAACCCATCAGTGTGCTGTATCCAGGAAACCCATCTCACATGCAAGGATACACAAAGACTCAAAATAAAGGGATGGAGGAAGATTTACCAAGCAAATGGAGAGCAAAAAAAAAGCAGGAGTTGCAATTCTCATCTCTAATAAAATAGACTTTAAAGCAACAAAGATCAAAAGAGACAAAGAAGGCCATTACATAATGGTAAAGGGATCGATACAACAAGAAGAGCTAATGATCCTAAACATATATGGACCCAATACAGGAGCACCCAGATACATAAGGCAAGTTCCTAATGACTTACAAAGAGACTTAGACTCCCACACAATAATAGTGGGAGACTTTAACACTCCACTGTCAATATTAGACAGATCAACCAGACAGAAAATCAACAAGGTTATCCAGGGCTTGAACTCAGACCTGGAGCAAGCAAACCTGATAGACATTTACAGAACTCTCCACCCCAAATCCACAGAATATACATTCTTCTCAGCACCACATCACACCTACTCAAAAATTGACCACATAATTGGAAGTAAAGCACTGCTCAGCAAATGTAAAACACCTGAAATCATAACAAACAGCCTCTCAGACCATAGTGCAATCAAGTTAGAACTCAGAATACAGAAACCAACCCAGAACCGCACAGCTTCATGGAAACTGAACAACTGGCTCTTGAATGTTGACTGGGTAAAAATGAAATGAAGGCAGAAATAAAGAAGTTCTTTGAAACCAATGAGAATGAAGACACAACATGCCAGAATCTCTGGGACACATTTAAAGCTGTCTCTAGAGGAAAGTATATAGCAATAAGTGCCCCTATGAGGAGAATGGAGAGATCCAAAATTGACACCCTATCATCAAAATTGAAAGAGCTAGACGAGCAAGATCAAAAAAACTCAAAACCCAGCAGAAGACAAGAAATAACTAAGATCAGAGCTGAACTGAAGGAGATTGAGACATGAAAAACCCTTCAAAAAATCAATAAATCCAAGAGCTGGTTTTTTGAAAAGATCAACAAAATAGACAGACCACTAGCCAGATTGATTAAAAAGAAAAGAGAGAACAACCAAATAGATGAAATAACAAATGATAAAGGGGAAATCACCACAGACTCCACAGAAATTCAAACCATCATCAGTGAATATTACAAACAACTCTATGCACATAAACTAGTAAACCTGGAAGAAGTGGATAAATGCCTGGACTCCTGTGTCCTCCTAAGCCTAAACCAGGAGGAAGCTGAAACTATGAATAGACTAATAACAAGGTCAGAAGTCGAGGCAGCAATTAAGAGCCTACCACACAAAAAAAGCCCAGGTCCAGACGGGTTCACAGCTGAATTCTACCAGACACACAAAGAGGAGCTGGTACCATTCCTTCTAAAACTATTCCAAATAATCCAAAAAGAGGGAATCCTTCCCAAATCATTTTACGAGACCAACATCATCCTGATACCAAAACCCGGCAGAGACCCAACAAGAAAAGAAAACTTCCGGCCAATATCCATGATGAACATAGATGCAAAAATCTTCAATAAAATATTGGCAAGCTGATTGCTACAGCAAATAAAAAAACTTATTCATCACGATCAAGTAGGATTCATCCCGGGGATGCAAGGCTGGTTCAACATACGCAAGTCTATCAACGTAATTCACCACATAAACAGATCCAAAAACAAAAACCACATGATTATCTCAATTGATGCAGAGAAGGCATTTGACAAAATTCAACAGCCCTTTATGCTAAAAACCCTCAATAAACTCGGTATCGATGGAACCTATCTCAAAGTAATAAAAGCTATTTATGACAAACCAGCAGCCAATATCATACTGAATGGGCAAAAACTGGAAGCATTCCCTTTGAAATCTGGCACTAGACAAGGATGCCCTCTCTCACCACTCCTATTCAATATAGTACTGGAAGTTCTAGCCAGAGCAATCAGGCAAGAAAAAGAAATAAACGGTATTCAAATAGGAAAGGTGGAAGCCAAATTGTCTCTATTTGCAGACGACATGATTGTATACCTAGAAGACCCCATCGCCTCAGCCCAAAAACTCCTGAAACTGATAAGCAACTTCAGCAAAGTCTCAGGATATAAAATCAATGTGCAAAAATCACAAGCGTTCCTCTACACCAATAACAGACTTAAAGAAAGCCAAATCAAGAACGAACTGCCATTCACAATTGCTACAAAAAGAATAAAATACCTAGGAATACAACTCACAAGGAACGTAAGGGACCTCTTCAAGGAAAACTACAAACCACTGCTCAACGAAATCAGAGAGGACACAAACAGATGGAGAAACATTCCATGTTCATGGTTAGGAAGAATTAATATCGTGAAAATGGCTATACTGCCCAAAGTAATTTACAGAATCAATGCTATCCCCATCAAGCTACCATTGACTTTCTTCACAGAACTGGAAAAAACCACCATGAACTTCATATGGAACCAACAGAGAGCCCACATAGCCAAGTCAATTCTAAGCAAAAAGAACACAGCGGGGGGCATCACACTACCGAATTTCAAAGTATACTACAAGGCTACAGTAATCAAAACAGCATGGTACTGGTACCAAAACAGAGATATAGACCAATGGAACAAAACAGAGGCACCGGAGGCAACACAACATACATACAACTATACAATCTTTGATAAACCTGACAAAAACAAGCAATGGGGAAAGGATTCCATGTTGAACAAATGGTGTTGGGAAAACTGGCTAGCCATGTGCAGAAAGCAGAAAGTGGACCCCTTCCTGACACCTTACACTAAAATTAACTCCAGATGGATTAAAGACTTAAACATAAGACCTGGCACCATACAAACCCTAGAAGAAAATCTAGGCAAAACTATCCAGGACATAGGAGTAGGCAAGGACTTCATGAACAAAACACCAAAAGCATTGGCAACAAAAGCCAAAATAGACAAATGGGACCTAATGAAACTCCACAGCTTCTGCATGGCAAAAAAAACAGTCACTAGAGTGGATCGGCAACCAACAGAATGGGAAAACATTTTTGCAGTTTACCCATCTGACAAAGAGCTGATATCCAGAATTTACAAAGAACTCAAACAGATTTACAGGAAAAAAACAAACAAGCCCATTCAAAAGTGGGCAAAGGATATGAACAGATACTTTACGAAAGAAGACATATATGAGGCCAACAATCATATGAAAAAATGCTCATCGTCACTGATCATCAGAGAGATGCAAATCAAAACCACATTGAGATACCATCTCACGCCACTTAGAATGGCGAGCATTAAAAAATCTGGAGACAACAGATGCTGGAGAGGATGTGGAGAAAAAGGATCACTTTTACACTGTTGGTGGGAGTGTAAATTAGTTCAACCATTGTGGAAGACGGTGTGGCGATTCCTCAAGGCCTTAGAAATAGAAATTCCATTTGACTCAGCAATCCCATTACTGGGTATATATCCAAAAGACTATAAATCCTTCTACTATAAGGACACATGTACACGAATGTTCATTGCAGCACTGTTTACAATAGCAAAGACCTGGAATCAACCCAAATGCCCATTGATAATAGACTGGATTGGAAAAATGTGGCACATATACACCATGGAATATTATGCAGCAATCAGAAATGATGAGTTTGTGTCATTTGTAGGGACATGGATGAATCTGGAGAACATCATCCTCAGCAAACTGACACAAGAACAGAAAATGAAACACCGCATATTCTCACTCATAGGTGGGTGATGAAAAATGAGAACACATGGACACAGAAAGGGGAGTACTAAACACTGGGGTCTATTGGGGGGAAAAGGGGAGAGCCAGTGGGAGGGGGAGGTGGGGAGGGATAGCCTGGGGAGAAAAGCCAAATGTGGGTGAAGGGGAGAAGAAAAGAAAGCATACTGCCATGTGTGTACCTACGCAACTGTCTTGCATGCTCTGCTCATGTACCCCAAAACCTATAATCCAATAAAAAATTAAAAAAAAAAAAAAAGAAAGAAAGAAAGAGCAGGAGGAAGAAGAAGAGGAAGAAGTAGTTATATAATGACCAAGGAAAATAAAAGGTTGGATCTAGATGATGAAGAGAAAAAGGATTCATGACAAAAATAGAACATTTTTCTCATTTTCTTCTCCTTTACATGTGTTTGTCTTCTTTCATTAGATACTGGAGTATCTGAAAGGGTGTCACTGAATGTTCCTTCAAATGTGGTTGAAGGATCTCCCAGGGCAACATATTCAGTTTTGGGTGAGTCTTTCAGCCCAAGGGAAGCAGCTGTCTAGCTCTATAATTCTAGTGCATGGGCCTCGCCAACCATGATTAATGAGGTCTCTGACAATGGGCAGTGAATTGAGAGAAAACACTAAGCTAGGGGTTATATTATGTTACAGTTGGAAAGGGGGTTGAATAGATATTATTCTACATGTTATGCCTTGATATACTCTAAAAGGAAAGGGTCACCTCTCTGGGCCCTCATCTTCAAGCAATTTACTAGATGGTAATGCTTCCTAGTCAATTTGAAAATGGTTGTGGTTGAGTTTTACCAGGCATGTGGAGCATGAGAAAAGATAGATCACCTACCATTCAGTTTCTTCCCTGCTTTCTCCATCCTTGAACCATCTACTTTATTTTCTCACCTTTTTTTTTCCCTCCATATTTTTGTTTTTTTCACTTTTTAGAGTCTTCTTGTCCTTCCCTATGTAGGTCATTTGGCCTCTCAGTCAGCTAACAATCTGTTTTCCTAGCCCAATACCAACCATCTCTGATTTCTTTTCAACTTTTATTCCACAGGTGATATACTAGGCTCTGTGGTACAAAACCTTCAGAACCTTCTCCAGATGCCCTATGGTTGTGGAGAGCAGAATATGGTCCTTTTTGTTTCCAACATTTATGTTCTGAACTGAGTACAACACAACAGCTGACAGAGGAGATCAAGGCCAAAGCGATCAACTACCTCATCAATGGTGAGATATTACCTCAAAAGGAAGAGCCTTACTTAATCTCTTAAACATTTTATGGTGAACTAAAATCAACATCTCTTTCATTAAGATTTGATAGTCACTGTTGTGAATTTCAATAAAATGGCCCAATATACAAGTAGAAAATTCAATAGTATCAGCAAGCCTGTGATTGGGGGTTGGTATAAATTTTAATTAAATATTAATTATCCTGTTATTCCTAACAGCACTGAGAAAAAAAGCTTAATAATCTTCCAATGTCTTTGCCATTTTAATAAATCTGTGAACACTTCCTCTTCAGGGTACCAAAGGCAATTGAATTATAAGCACATAGATGGTTCCTATAGCACCTTTGGGAACCATGATGGTAGAAGCGAGGGAAACACTTGGTAAGATTATTCTTTCCCTATGCTCTCTCTAGATCCATGACATTCCAGGATTCTAGAAATAGCTACTCTCTAATGTCTGGCGTTTTTGTGGAAAATTGTTAGTCTTTATACATACATGTGCTGTATGTATCATTCCTGTTGGGTAATCTCACCATGACATCTCTGAAAGCTCGCCTGCTGTGATAACACAGCTGAAAGTGGTGAAATAAGGATCTTCTAAATGGAGATATAAGGCAGAAAATGTCATTCTATAAAATGACAGAGTAAGAAGCTCCCACACTCTGCATTAAAGAAGGAGAGAAGGGAGAGGACAGAAGGAGGCTGTGAAGCAGGAAAATCAGAACAAGTCATTCTGGAAATGCAGTTTTGCTGGCAGGAGGCTTGGAGGCTCCAAAAAATGTTCCATAACAAAAAATTTAAAAAGCATCAACTCAGAGAAATCAATAAAATTGAAAGGCAATAAAAGATATTGAGATGTTTGCTGAACTAGAGTATATTCATCTTTTATATACTATTTCCCATCAATTCCTCCCAGTGATCTTCTCTGCTTAATTGTGATGAAGAACAATGTCTGGAGGCAGTAGACAAAGTCAGCTGTGGAAGTGAGGTGGTCCTCACGTCTGCATCTCTGTTTTGCTGGACAGGCTCACTGAATTTGTGCTCAAGTCCTTTGCCCAAGCCCGAGCGTACATCTCTGTGGATGACTCACACCTTGGGGATACCTTCATGTGGCTCTCAGAGAGACAAAAGGAAAATGGCTGTTTCCAATACTCTGGATCACTGCTGAACAATGCTATTATGGTGATGCCTTCTCTATTTCTGTTCTGGTCCCTGAAGATAGCGATATGTGGGAGGAAACAACATCTGAATTGAGTCCTCCAGTCTTACCGACATAGATTTCAGGAAGAATGGTGGACTCTAAATCTCCTGCAATCTAGCAGTACCTTAGTAATTTTATATTAAATGAAAATAGTGTTCAAAAAAACTCCAAAGCCAAACACATTATAAAAAGTGAAGGCTGGGTGCGGTGGCTCAAGTCTGTAATGCCAGCACTTTGGGAGGCTGAAGCTGGCAGATCACGAGGTCAAGAGATCAAAACCATCCTGGCCAACATGGTAAAACCCCATCTCTACTAAAAATACAAAAATTAGCTGGGCATGGCAGCATGCACCTGTAGTCTCAGCTACTTGGGAGGCTGAGGCAAGAGAATTGCTTGAACCCAGGAGGTGGAGGTTGCAGTGAGCCAAGATTGTGCCACTGCACTCCAGCCTGTTGCCTGGCGACAGAGTGAGACTCTGTCTCAAAAAAAAAAAAGTGAGGATTTTAGGGTAGAGGAGGAAGAGGAGAAAATCAACTCAAGAATTTTAGGGTAGAGGAGGAAGAGGAGAAAATTAACATTCTAGCACAAGACACGAAATCATCTAGCGAAGATGTCAAAGGAAAAGGAAGTTTTAGCAGATGCTGCCTCATGACTGTTGAAGTGTTTGAGTCTCTCTGCCTCTGATCCCTACAGGGTGAGGTGGACGATGAGGTGACACTCTTTGCCTACATCACCATTGCTCTGCTGGAGATGACACTGCCTGCCATGGTATGTTCACACACATCCTCTGTACCACCTTCACACGTGTAAAGAACAAAATTATGATATGATGGATCCCTGAGGGAAATTAATCGTGATATTTATGGAATTTAATTTTGGCATATTTCACTGGAATCTAAAGGACCAGATCCTTTTGGAAGCAGCAGAGGAAACTCCTCTCTGGTCAGAACTGTGAGGTTACACAGGCGCATTAGGGTTTTTAATCTACAGTTAGCCTGGGGAAGGTCATTCACCTGGTTCTCCTATTTTACAATAGCCTTTCGTCTTCTTCATAGAGCCCAAGTGTCAGTAGGGGCCCAAGTATTCTGCCTTGAAACGGCCTGGAGATCCACCGCAGAGGCCCAAGGAAGTCTCATCTACACCAAAGCATTATTGGCCTATGCCTTTGCCCTAGCAGGAAACCAGGTCAAGCGAAGAGAGCTGCTTGAATCATTAAACAGAGAGGCTGTGAAAGAAGGTAAGAGCTGCTACTGCAAAGTTTACTTCTAACAACCACCAGTGACCAGAAGAAGGGAGGATACCTCTACTGAGCTCATGCCTATCATGCTACCTTAATTTAGTGACAGTGAGAATAATTATCATTGATCTAAGACTGGATAACATGGATCATTTTAGTAATCCACATAGTATACACTCTATACAGTCCCAGCTTCCAATACCACACACATGTTACGGACACACAGACTCAATGTTATAGTCTCTGGAACTTTACTTTCTGGACAAAGATTTATTTGATGGTGATTAATCCTTTCATTTTGTTTAATGCTTTCACTTGATTAAAATGAAAGGTCAATGTATTAGGTGAACTATAATTATAATCATCACTCATGGATTAGATTTTGAAACTATTCTTGAAGCTAAAAATTCTACCCTTTTCCATGTCAAAAAGTATTCAATCCACTGGCAACATCCTGGGAAACTTCGAGAAGCTGAGACACTCTTCTCAATTCTGGGCTCCCTCTATGGAAGTGGAGATGGCATCTTATGTGCTCCTTGCCTATGTTACTGTCCAGCCTGCCCCATCTTCAGAGGACCTGTCTGTGGCATCACGTATTGTGAAGTGGATTACCAAGCAGCAAAACCCCCATGGGGGCTTCTCCTCCACTCAGGTCTGTGGCGAGACTCTAGAAGGAAACATAAATATATTAACAAATATGAAGACACAATCATCTCCTAGGAGTTGAATAATGGAATAGTTCATATTTCTAATTCACACCTTCTCCATCCCTCCATTGGCAGACAAGTTTTGGTCTTACTATCTTATACATGGATTACTGGTCTGTCTTCTTTATATTCTCTCCTCTCTTAACTCTTTAGTGGACCCCTAACCACACAGGTAGGTTTGTCTTGACAAAGCAATGTCTTCATGGGATTACTTCCCTTAGAAAATAAGTCTTCTTTTTCACCCAAAGCCTAAAATTATCTAGTATTTTATCTAAAATATTTTCTATCCCCAGTAAACACGAGTGCACCAACCTGATGAGGCAGATCCCTTTGCTTTTTCCAGAATTGGCTCACTGCGGTTTACACGACTTCACATAGAGCATCCCCCACCCTCATGCCGCTCTTCTGTCTATGTAAACCCTGCTCACTAGTCAGAGATAATCCTGTTTCTCACCTTCTTCAGTCTTCTCTTACTGTCCTAACCCATATTTTCTTCTCTCTTTTCTGAACTTTTATAACAAATATTGCTGCATAAATTTATAAATTATTGAAATAGCCTGGGCTTGTGTCAAATATCTGAGTCTTATCTCCATATATTTATTGTAAACTAGCTGAATGATGAAACTTTGTATAAATTTACCTTCAAAGTACCTAGAATAATTTGTCATTACTAACCAGATTGAACTGAACTGAAATAGAGTTAGTTGACTGTGTTTATGACTAAATAATTCTGAAAACTAATAGTGTTGTTGTGGTTTACATCCAGTGTGAGTTTGTTGCTTTCCTCTCCTGTGATTTCTATACCCATTGTTTTTACAGGATACAGTGGTGGCTCTTCAAGCCCTCTCTGAATATGGAAAAGCAACTTTCACCAACAGTGAGAAAACAGCTTTGGTTACTGTCAAATCTTCAGATACCTTCTCTAAAGACTTCCAAGTGGATGATGCCAACCACCTGCTGCTGCAGGAGGTCCAGCTGCTGAAGGTTCCAGGGGAGTACACCACAACTGTGTCAGGGTCAGGATGTGTGTACCTCCAGGTGAGACTGGGATTTAGGATATGCTGCAAATGGGAGAGAAAGTCTCAAGAGTTATATTTGAATTTCAAAACAAGAAAAAGAAATGTGTGCTAAAGGAAGGTATGAATCATCTGGAACAGATTATGAGACAATTTGAGTGCAAAAAATGAAGGATTTTTTTCACTTGTTTTAGACATCCCTGAGATATAACATCCGACCCAAGAAAAAAGAGAAAGAACCCTTCACTCTGCAGGTTAATACGCTCCCCAAGAATTGTAATGAAGTGGATGCTCGCAGAAAGTTCCAGATTCACATCAACATTAGGTAACTCCTAGATCATGACCAGACCTTTTGCACCAACCTAATAGAATATGGAGAAATTGATTTTCTTATGTGGGCAAACTCCACTATCCAAAGCCACACATAATGAATATGGAATTCTTGCAGTGCTTATCAACAGAAACTTTTTTTGAAAAGCCTTCACATTAAGAATATGATATTACAATCTGATGAGTGTGAGCTTAAAGTGATGGTTTTTCCAAACAACCATAACAGAAACAGATACAGCAGATGTAGTAACTTAGTGTTAGAAATAAAAGGTAAAGAGAGAGTTTGTCTTGAATGAATCCCAAAAAATTTTGTTTGAATCCCTCATTCCTATGCTTTGATTTTATAGCTATACTGGGGACCGACCCAGCTCCAACATGGTCATTGTTGATGTGAAGATGGTATCAGGCTTCATTCCTATAAAACAATCAGTTAAACAGGTAATCCCTGGATCCCTTGCAATAGTAAAGTCATGATAAATGCTGTCATTTATCGTCAATTTGACTTTATTGATGGAATTTTCAAGAGATGTTTTCCCTCAAAATTGCTTCTCTAGTAGGCATCTCTATCATTTTAATAGGGTGTCTTGATTACATGGTGTCAAGTATAGGGCATAAGTCAGAAACATGATAAATAATGTTCCAACAGGCCCAAGACACCTAGCTATATGGAATGGTATTGAATTATTTTCCAGATTTATGTAAGATTAGAAAAGGATATATGTGTGTATACATGCATATATATATATCTCACATACGTATCTGCTTATATACTTACAGTATATAGAGAATAACATTTGATAAGTATTACTATTGTTATCATTATTATTCTTGAAGAAATAAAAATTATCCATTTGGATGCTCCAAGAAGCTGTTTAGATCATAAATACCTGAAAACTGCTGCCAGCAAAAAATTTTCTCATTCCATATTTCTGACTTATTCTCTTGATCAACAGCTCCAGACACAGCCTCAGATTCAGAGGACCGAAGTAAGCACCAACCATGTCCTAATCTACTTTGAAAAGGTAAGATTTTCTGTGACTCTGCTAGATGTGAAATAACAACTAGAGGTTCTAACAAACCATAACAGATTCCAAATGGTGCTGTTCACATATACAGGTGGGAGAGGACAAAGTGGCTATAAAAAGAAATGAAGCTTGGACTGTCAACAGGCTTGATTTATTACATTTGGCTGTCCACAAAATTGTCTCTTTTGTCCTTTTTTAACCTATCATTGAGTATGCTATGCAGGTCACAGAATTCTGCTTTCTTTTCCCAGGTTTTGGTATAGATGTACAGCATAACTACAGGGTTTGATAATATCTTATTAAGAGAGGACAGTAATTAGATACTAAGTTAATCTTTGATTCCAATTGTTTTCCTGCCTCTCCAGCTAACCAATCAAAACCGGCATTTTTCCTTCTTGGTGGAACAAGGTATCCAAGTAAAGAATTTAAAAACAGCTATGGTAAAAAGCCTATGATTATTATGAGACAGGTGAGTGAGATTCAGACATGCTGAGCTTTGAAATAAAAAAAAAAAAAACTACTAACCTAGTAAAGGATTACCTTAACTAAACGCAAAACTTCACAGTCTTTCACTGGGGAAAAAAGTGAGTTTGTGGGCACTGGATAATCATGTTCTTGTATATTAACCTCTCATGTCCGCTGCAAACAAGTCTTAGAGTCATTCTTATACATTGACCATAAGGCAATGAGAGGGTCCATTCTATCTAAATTTCCCTATAAAGTTGTTTGTCCTGGGCTGAATTATTCCAAAGAGATAAGAAGAGTACAATAACTGAAGAAACATGTCTCAGTGCTAATGTGTGACATGAGATCTAAAATTTAATCTGTTTTTTGACTTGTGCTTTGATTCGGCTCACAAAATTTGGGGAACTTTGTAATGTATCAGGAAATACTTTCATTTACTCACGGCTTTGAGCTAGAAAGTTACCAGCATTGTAGCACGATGGTAGTGCTAAAACTTTTCTTCTTTCATTAAGGAAAGGTTCAGAGAGGAAGGTGCAATTCCAATGAGAAAAACGCAGCTGCAAAAAGGCAGTATCTACAGAGTCCTGCAACTACACTCAGGCACACCACCATGTACCCTGCCTCTCAATTCTGTTCCCAAGCCAGATTTTCTTAAGTTTCCTCCCACCAATCCCAAACAGCTTAATGACAAGTCGTTTTTATTGGCTCTATAGTGAGGCTTTCTACTTTCTTTCTTAGCTTACACAGTTTATTTACAATTCACATCTTAGGTGCTTATGCCTGAATGTCTTCACTCTTTCTGTCCAATAATTTCTGTGTTTCAGATGAATTCACCTTTGAAGAATACAATGCCCCTTGCAGTGCTGGTAAAGTATAAATGGTTCAAACTAACTCAAATTGAAAGAAACTAAATAAGCATTTCAGTTAAACAGTAAAGTCTAATCCCAACTTCAAAATAAATAAGCATCTCAGTTCTCTGCATAAGCTGCTTCTTGTGATGAATGTATTCTTTCCAAATCCTAAAATCCCCTGATGTACCATATATAAATTGAACTACATCAAATGTATTATAGAATTTCTAAAAAAAATGCAAGTTAAATAGAATTACTGGTGTTTGGGTAACTTATTTGAAGATGAATCCAAGGATTTGCCACATATAAAAACCAAATTAATATGTGGTTTCCATTCTATACCCAGTGGTGATAAATTCATCACCAATAGCCTTTCTAGGATATTTCTAAGTGTACACTAGTTAAAATCAAGAAATTTGTCACTGTAATTATGCATATAGCACAGCATGAAAAGTGTGATCTGTAAGACCTTCCTTTAGGCTGATTGACCGTGTTCATCTTTGACACAGAATTTGCCGTGAAACTTTTGCTTCTCTATTTTTAAACATGAAAAAATGGAGAACATCCCTATCATTAAAAGTTACTAAGTTCAAATATTTATAACTGAAATATAAATAATTATTCTTAAATAGGTCACAGACTTTCCCTAATATTTCTCCCTTTTCTTTTACTATTTAGAGTCTCAACAAGGAAATGCTTGAAAACAGGAACTTATGGACCTCATCAGATGAACTTCTTCAGAAATGAAGAAGAGACTTACTGAGAGAGGACAGTAAGAGAAAGAAGGGAATATCATTGGAAATGTATAAAATTTGTGTGTTGAATAAATTTATGGCATTTATAACTCTTTTCTTTTGTTCCTTATCAATATCATATTCCCTTTCTTGAATATGTATCTATTCTCCATAGCATTTATTAAATAGCAAAAAAGCTATACAAAGAGGTACACTCAAAAACACTACAGATGAATTAAAGTGGAATTCAAAAAAATGTCAATTAACCCACAAAAAGGAAAAAGAAAATGGCTTTTCCAAACATTGGAAACAGCAATAAATCCATGAATAGTTGAACGGTTTGGCAGTCTGTGGCTCATCCTTACAACTAGTTCTGCTGGACAGTGCAGAGGAACAAACCATTGACACACACAATGACTTGAGTGCGTCTCAAAAGCGTTAGGCTGCATGGGAAAAAACAGCCAATCTCAAAAGGTCACAATCTGTATGATTTCTTTTATGGGCGTGACTGTAAGTGGCTAGTTAAAGAGTTTTTGTGGTGATGAAATCCTGCATGCGTGGAAGCAAAATCCTGCTTCCAATTTTTGGATTTAATTCCATCTCAAATTATTTTCTCATTTATTGGGTGGTGAGTAAGTGAGCATTTAAATTGACTTTTTTTCCATGTAGCTTTCTAATGGTCCTATTAACATTGATTAACCAATTCAATCTTTTCCTGCTAATAAACCATGCCTCTGGGCTAGGTGGGGTGGCTCACGCCTGTAATCTCAGCATTTTGGGAGGCTGAGGCGGGGGATCACAAGGTCAAGAGATTGAGACCATGCTGGCCAACATGGTAAAACCCTGTCTCTACTAAAAATACAAAAATTAGCTGGGTGGGGCGGTGTGTGCCTGTAGTCCCAGCTACTCGGAAGGCTGAGTCAGGAGAATTACTTGAAGCAGAGAGGTGGAGGTTGCAGTGAGCCGAGATTGTGCCACTGCTTTACAGCCTGGGGCCTAGCAACATAGTGATACTCTGTCTCAAAAATAAATAAATAAATAAATAAATAAATAAATAAATAAATAAATAAATAAAATAAACCATGCCTCCTTTATCACATAATAAATTATCATGTAAATTAAGGCTAGTTTCTGAATGGTCTATTCTAGTCCATTGAGTACCCGGTCTATTCTTTCATAAGGATTAAAATATTTGAATTACTGTAGCTTAATAAAATGTTTTAATAACTACTATGGCTGATGTCTTTTCATTTCTCTGTTTTCACTTTTTCTTGTATTACTGATTTGTATCTCTACCAAACCTCATGTTGAAGTGTAATCCCCAGAATTGGAGGTGGGGTCTGGTGGGAGGTGATTAGATCATGGGGGTGAATCCTTCATTAATGATTTAGCACCATCCCCTGGCTGTTGTGCTCATGATAGAGTTCTGCAAGTTCCGGTTATCTATAAGTGTGTAGCACCTCCTGCACACCTTGCTCACCATGCTCTCACCGTATTAGAAGCCTGGCTCCCTTTTAGCCTTCTGCCATGATTGTAAGTTTCCGAAAGCGTCTCCTCTCGAGAATCCTAGCAGAGGCCAGCATCATGCTTCCTGTATAGCCTGCAGAACTGTGAGCCAATGAAACCTCTTTTCTTGATAAATCACCCAATCTCAGGTATTTCTTTATAGTGATGCAAGAATGGACTAATAGAATTACTAAGGTCATTATTTGTTCAAGTTAAAACTCTAGAATCTTTTAAGTTCATTATCCCCATAGTCAATGATGTCTTGTTTGGAATTTGATTGAATATATGAATGAATTTATAATTGTCCTGAGTGTCAATTTTTTTGCATTTAATCTTCCTTATTCAGACTCATTTTATATTTATTTACTCAATTCACATGAAGCAAATTCTAACTCTGACTTAATTTCTAACTTTGGACTCAACTATAAAGTTAAAGATTAGCCTTTACGGACATATATTGTAGGATACTTTGAAAAAATTAAAAAATGTATAAGTCAGACAAATTAAAAGATTTTTCACGAGGTAGTGAAAATCGAGAACAGTATTTCTCATTTGCTGATCGATGTCATTGAAAGGTTTTAAGCAAGAGAGTAGTTCTGGTTTGCCGTATAGATAGTCATCTTCCAGGCAATGGCAAGAAGAAGAAAGCAAGTTTTTCCTGAATCCCAGGTTCACAACCCATTTGTGCAGAGCTGAGCTCTCTTCTTCATGCTTAACAAAATGATTTAGGAGACATATCTCTATTCCACATTTACACAGTTCTACACTTTGAAAATGATTTATTTTACTTTCATCCACATACTCATATCTCTTTGAAAGCCAAACTTGTATCTTAATCATATCTCTGCAGCCTGTTCACCCAACGCAGTGCTGGGAAGTTGTGCGCACTCATTAAAACAAAGGAGTGATTGAGCGTGTCAGTGCCTGAGTGAGCCTATTTCTGTAGGTAGAGGAGAAATGGAGTAACACTAAGGTGGCAGCACACGCTAGTAAGAAAAATGAGCTAGAGCTCACGCCTGTAATCCCAGCACTTTGGGAGGCCAAGACGGGTGGATCACGAGGTCAAAAGATCGAGACCATCCTGGTCAACATGATGAAACCCCGTCTCTACTAAAAAAAATACAAAAAATTAGCTGGGCATGGTGGCGCGTGCCTGTAATCCCAGCTACTCAGGAGGCTGAGGCAGGAGAATTGCCTGAACCCAGGAGACGGAGGTTGCGGTGAGCCGAGATCGCGCCATTGCACTCCAGCCTGGGTAATGAGGACGAAACTCCATCTTTAAAAAAAAAAAATGAGCTAGAAAAATCATTTTGACCCAAACCTGGTTTGAGTTGTTTAATGTTTCACAAACACTTTAAGGAACAAGATTTTGATATTTTTCCAAAGTCAAACTAATGAGAAGGAAAAACATTTGGTTATTTATTGGGACTTTGAGCAAAACTTGTTTAAAAATACATTTCATATTCAGTGAGCTTTAAGTGGAAAATCATGGCTTCTATCTTGCAAAAGAAACTGTTAACAATTATCAGAAAGGTAAATAAAAATGATCTTTGTTATAGTTTCAGTTGTGTCCCACCAAAAATATATGTTTAAGTCGTAACCTCTGGTATGTGTGAATGTGACATTACTTGGAAATAGCATCCGTGCAGATGTAATTGGGATGTAAGCTAAGATAAAGTCATACTGGAGTAGTGTGGGTCCTTAACCCAGTAAGACTGGTGTCCTATCAGAAGAAATCATATGTGTACAGAGGAAAGGTGATGCAGACAGACACACAAGGAAAACTCTGTGTGATGATAGAGACAAACACAGGAACGCCAAGGACTGCTGACAACATCAGAAGCTAAGAGAAAGGCATGGAGCAGATTCTCTCTTAGAGCGTTCAGTGGGATCATGATCCTACCAATACCTTGATTTTGCACTGCAACCCTCCAGAACCAAGAGAGAATGAATTTATATTGTGGTAAGCCACCCACTTTGCAGTATTCTGTTATGGAAGTCCTAAAAAATTATTATAATTTCTAATTAAAATAATATATTTTCATTCATTGGCCAAGTTTACTTAGCAAATTTTTAATTGTCTTTTAAGCAGATCCAAATGGTTGAGTAGAGGAAGAATACACGTTTTACATATTTCCACAGAGTTTAATTTCACAAGAAAAATTTGTTCTGTAATTTAAAACAAGACATCAAATATTAAAATCTGGCCCAGTGCAGTGGGTCACAATTATAGTCCCAGCTACTCAAGAGGCTGAGGGTAGAGGATTGCTCAAGCCCAGGAGTTGGAGACCAACCAGGGCAACATAATGAGAACTCATCTCTATTTTAAAAAATAAATAAATAAACAAGAAAATCTGAGATGTGAGGTTCAGTTTTCCATTTCTAGCCCTCTGTTATGCTTAGAGCTTATCTCACAAAAGACAAACCTCTGTGTTCTTAAAGTTCTCCAGGAACAACTTTCTTGTTTATTTCTGTGGTAACAAGAAAAACTAAAAGATGGTTTATAATAAAAAAGCAAATCTATGCATGAATGTTTGGGTGAAGGGTTGATTTATTAATCTGTCTCACATACCTCCAAAGGGATGCTTGATTATTATTTAATGCAAAGTAAAAGCATTGTTAAAGACCTTTCTTAAGAATCTTTTTTTTTTTTTTTTTTGAGACGGAGTTTTGCTCTTGTTACCCAGGCTAGAGTGCAATGGCGCGATCTCGGCTCACCTCAACCTCCGCCTCCTGGGTTCAGGCAAGCCTCCTGGGTTCAGGTAATTCTCCTGCCTCAGCCTCCTGAGTAGCTGGGATTACAGGCACGCACCACCACGCCCAGCTAATTTTTTGTATTTTTAGTAGAGACGGGGTTTCACCATGTTGACCAGGATGGTCTCAATATCTTGACCTCGTGATCCACCCACCTCGGCCTCCCAAAGTGCTGGGATTACAGGCTTGAGCCACCGCACCCGGCCAAGAATCTTCTTTTTTTTTTAGGGCATGAGTCTGGCTCCATTGCCAGGCTAGAGTGCTGTGGTGGAATCCTGGCTCACTGCAACTTCCGTTTTATGGTTTCAAGCAATTCTCCTGCCTCAGCTTCCAGAGTCCTGGGACTACAGGCATGCACCACCATACTTGGCTAATTTTTCGTATTTTCAATAGAGATGGGGTTTCACCATGTTGGCCAGGATGGCATCGATCTCTTGACCTCGTGATCCACCCACCTTGGCGTTCCGAAGTGCTGGGATTACAGGCGTGAGCCACCGTGCCTGGCCAAGAATTTTTAAAACATAAAAAGTCACTTAAACAGCAATAATGTGAGAAATATCTTTATGCAATTCAGGCATCTTGTAAAATTTAGGAATGTGAATTAATGCAATATCAAAGAATATTCAAGATACTAAAGGCAAGGGATCTGTTTGGATTCAAGTTGTTGTTGAGCAAAGTTTTGCCTAAGAAAATATGTGCCAAGATTTAATGTGTACTTAATTAGACAGGATGAAACTTGTCATGTCCAGTAAATGACCTCTGATTACTCAAAATCTGTTAATATATTAACAAAAGACTTTCATCATCAGTACACTTGAATAACACTTGTCCCAAAATACCCTTTCCAGAT